GAAAGAAAGAAAGAAAGAAAGAAAGAAAGAAAGAAAGAAAGAAAGAAAGAAAGAAAGAAAGAAAGAAAGAAAGAAAGAAAGAAAGAAAGAAAGAGCTGAGTAAATTTCTAAATCTCTTGCCATAGCCATGCAGTTCGTAACCAGTGCTTTGAGCAGAAAAATGAAATCACAAGAAAGTTTTTCTTAGAAATTATTTCTGCCATTTTGCAGTTGTCTGAAAAGACTTAGGAAGGATTATTCGTACGGTCTTGTGTGGCTGCAACCTCTCACCTCATTAACTCAAAGTCTGTAAGCAAATGAAGTTGAACTTTATCCTGGTTTTGGAGCACAGCTGAGAATTAATGCTGTGTGAAAAAAAAACACAGAACACCCAGTCTGTTTTTTCCCTAAATGGAAAGGGCAAAAGTGTAAAAGGATTTTTTTTTTCCTGTGCCATTAATTAAAAGTCCTGTCAGCTTCTGTTGGTAATTTTTCATTACTTGGAAGTAATGGGAAGGTTGGACAGCTGAACATGTGACCACTGTTGTAACAAATAGAACAATCTCTTCAACCATGAAGCCAGACTGGGTGAAATCTCCTAAAAGTGATTCATCACACTGAAGTTTTATTTTTTTTTTTAATTTTGGATGTGGAATTATAGGAGTTAAATTATTTTTTTGCAAATGAGTAGCTTTAACTTTTACCCCAAAAGTCCAAACACATTAACTGAAATTTTCAAAGACCATACATGTATGTGACAGTGCTTAACGAGTTCATTCAATATGCAGAGAATGAGTAAAAATAAAACAAATATWGTTTAACAAATAGTTACATATTTATATGGTCATTAAGCTGTTTCATTGTGTAAATGAATCTTATTTTTTACAAATAAATGATGGTCCTCATAACAAATGACGTTTTAGAGTTGCATTTAGGGACAATGTAAACACTGAATTCATTACAGTATGAATTTAATTTTAAAGCTGGAGACTGTTAAACACCGGAAGTAGAAATACCACTGAACTAAACGGGTACTAACCTTTATGGGTCATTTTAAATGTCACCGAAGACCTTGTGAGACACGAGTTGTTGCATCCAACTGTGTGCTGTTGCTTTTTTATTTTMTTGTAATAATCAGAAGTGACACAGATTTGATTCAGCCTGACTTGGCCAAAAAAAAAAAGTCTTTATTTTTCTGATTTTGAATGTGCGTATATTCTAACCACAGTTAAGAGTGGAGCTTCTGACATCAGGCTGTCCACCAGTTACGTCATTGTGCGTCGCGGTTCTATTTTTACACTAAAAGGTTATTTTTGACAGGTGTGCACAAGCATGTTGAAGACTTCACCGGGGAAAACATTACCACAGACACACGGAAGCTTATAAGTAGCAGTTCTTTGCAAATCTGCCCATCATGGTGCGCAATTGCGCAGCAAGGAGCAGATKAGATGTGATCCCAGTGTCATGTTCAGGGAGGAAACTACCGCAGCGCCTCAAGAAAACAACCCTTCCGCCCGCCCTGACCCGGCTCCTGGGGAACAGAATTTAAAATCTCCCCCCTATAGGAGGCAGTTTTTTTAAAATCCCAGTGATCAGGTTTGTGTTGTCGAAGACTTTCGGTTTCTATAGGGGAAGAATGAACTGGACTTCAGATTGTCGTGACTCTAACTCATGATGTGAGTTTTTGCAACATGACCGCGGAAGCACGCTGCGCAAGTCTGGATATTTAAGCACCATGGACGCAGCTGGCATCGCTGCCTCTGCGCTGATTTTGGGGATTATTGTCGTCTCGCTGCTGTCCAACGTGGTGGTGCTGATCTGCTTTCTGTACAACGCGGAGATCCGCAAGCAGGTACCTGGGCTTTTCATCCTCAACCTGACGTTTTGCAACCTGCTGCTGAGCGTGTGCAACATGCCACTGACTCTGGTCGGGCTCGTCACCACGGGCTACCCGGGAGGCAGCAGCGGCATCTGCCAGATCGCGGGGTTCCTCGACACTTTTCTCACCACAAACTCCATGCTCAGCATGGCAGCGCTCAGCATCGACAGGTGGGTGGCGGTGGTGTTCCCGCTCAGCTACCACTCGAGAATGCGGCGCAGGGACGCGGTGCTGGCGCTGAGCTACACTTGGATACACTCGCTTTGCTTCGCCCTGGTGGCCGCCTGCCGCTCCTGGGTCGGCTACAACCAGGTTTACGCGTCGTGCACCCTCTGCAACACCCGGGCGAAGGGAGCTGGGACGCAGTTCATGGTGTTCACCTTGGCTCTGCACACTCTCACCTTCCTGCTCACACTGGTTGTGATGTGTGTCACGTACCTGAAAGTGCTGAAAGTTGCGCGGTTTCACTGTAAACGCATCGATGTGATCACCATGCAGACGTTGGTGCTGCTGGTGGATATTCACCCCAGGTAAATACTGTAACTATCAGTCAAATGTGTCCTATTTCATGTTTTATTTGTTTATTTTGCGCATTGTTAGGATTTTTAAAAGAAAGTTTGCACATCTCAGTTAATATTGTTGGACATTTTTTTAAAGTTCACAATTAAAATAGCTTTCAATTTACTTAACTYATATATGTACAGTTTAGGAATCTCATTAAGAGAGATGCCTGACCATGACTGTTTTCTTCATGCCTGTGCACGTTTCCTCCATCCATCCATCTTGCCTGGGTGTCTCTGATCATGCCTCTTGACTGAAACATGCTTTACCTGTGTGCTTCGGCAGTGTTCGCCAGAAATGCCTGGAGGAGCAGAAGCAGAGGAGGCAGAGGGCCACCAAGAAGATCAGCACATTCATTGGCACGTTCTTGGTTTGCTTCACGCCTTATGTCATTACAAGGTGAGCTATGCAGTGGGAATAAATGTTTGTGGAGTGTCTATTGCAAGGTGTTTTAAGCGTAACGGTGTTATGGATGTTCATGAAACATAATAGATAATAGATTCAATTTCCAAAGCCTATTAGATTAAACTAAACAAGCTCATTATGAATAATTTATTTAGCCAAGTGTTCTTTTTTATGATCACTTCTAGCAAACATTAATGAGAATATTTTATTCAGCAAGAGGTCTAGAATCAGAACACTGACGCACATTGATTTAGTTCCACACTCTGATGACATTTTTGCAGAGTGGAGTGACGCTACTGTATTTTTGCAGTTTTACAGCACAGAGAGAATCGCATTACGTGCTTTAAATGTCTTCTCTCCAGTCGCACTAATCTAAGAAATAACCCATTCGATGCACGTTCCCCTTGTGTGTGACTTTTCTTTCTGTTTCTGCTTTATTTGGTATAGAATTGTGGAGCTCTTCTCMCCTGGGTCTATAAGCCCTCACTGGGGCATCCTGTCCAAATGCTTGGCCTACAGCAAGGCAGTGAGCGACCCTTTTGTCTACTCGCTGCTGCGTCACCAGTACAGGAAGACCTGCGGCTCTCTGGTCAATAAAGCCCTCAAGAGGAGTCCTCTGAACTCCTCCTCCCTCAGGATAGAAAGCAAAGCAGGGAGGAACACAAACAACTACAACTCGACAAGCCACACTCAGTCGTCACTCAGTAAACCTCTCAACCCATGAAGGCAGTCACATCCAGAGACATTTAGGACTTTTGCAACGTCTCGAAGACCTTACTTTGGGGTTGACCCTCATGGGAATTGGCTTAAGACTGCAGATCAGTCTCTCCCTAATGGTGTAACATGAAAACACACACGATTGTCACTCAGTTTTCTTACTGGAAGAAAAACAAAAGGCTGAAGAGATTTTGCATCTATTTTTGTATCTTACAGTGAAAAAAAGAGGCTCACGAGGCAAAAGCTAACAACAGTATGTTGTTTTGTTGTCTCTTCATGCTGTCTGACCTTACCAGGCTTTTTGACACACTCAGCCGAATGCTCATTTGTTCCTGCCAACAACAGCATTCTTTTAAAAGTAGGTCACAAATAAAACCCAATTTTGTTTGCATCAAAACGGTAAAATCATCTCCTCRTGCAGATTGGGCAAACTTTGGTCAGTGGTCTTGAAAGTATTGGAGCATTTAAGGGTGAGCTATTTTTAGCAGCAAGATTGTGTTAAAAATCAGCCATGTTTTTCGTGTTCACGGTAACAAATGCACACAGCACCTATGCTTTTCTTTTTCATTAGTCAGTAGTCAGTGGGATCAGTTTATTTAAATAACAAGTGTTTTACTCCTACGTTTGTAAGCTTTAGATATTATAGGCATAGTTTGCAACATACAGTTAATTTAATAAAAATGGGTGATTTAATAAAGAAATCAACACTTGACTCAGATGTGTCATTAAAGGCACAGGGCATGTTCAATATTTTGAAATTTTCAAACTGGTTGATATTTGTATACAAATGGTAAAAGGCATTTAAAAGTTTTTTTAGATGTAATATGTGTTGTATTGTAGCTTAACTGAATTGCTGTATTTTCTTATTGTCTCAGACATAACATCTGACCTCAGTAATAATCATCAAGCTGGATAAAATGTTCATTAGATAGTTTAAAACTGACCATCAGTTTGACCGTAGGGTGGTGGTTTTGTGCACTATACGGTGAAAAGKTTTATCAAAGTTTCTCTGTATTGTAGCTGTGAGGTGTGAGTTAGAAAGTGCCTTTAAAATCCTGAATTCAGATCAGATCAAAACACAACAGAAGAAACAATTCATGAGGAAATTTCTCAGTATTTTTGTGCTATGTGGTTAAGTATTATGATAAAAGTAGTTTGTTATTAAAGTAGCTGCCTTATTCTTTATTGTTACAGATCAAAATAATGAAATGTGTTTTTGAGTGTGGTAGGATTCAGTACTGTGTAATTAAAGTCCAGCATTTGCATCAGAAAAAAAAGTTATTTTGTTGACACTGGGTTATCAGGATGTTGTATTTTTATTTAACTGTGACTGTATGAAGCCTGCGAAAGGCAGAGAATCTATTTATTTTTGTCAAACTGTGTTCATTTTTTTTGCTAAATGTGATGATAATGCAATAAATGCTGTGCATTTTAACATTTTTAAACCTCTCTAAGCTCTTTCTTACTGAGTCATAGATATATTTTGATCACTTTCAGACTGTAATAATGCTTAATACACAAGTTTGCCTAAACCCTTCTTCTACTCTGATTAATGGTAAAGTAACAGCAGAACAAAGACTTGTAAAAAGCAGCGGGGTTCAAAATTAGAGGGCTTTTTAATTGCTGAAGCAAGGAGTGGGATAAGAATGAAAGGAGAAAAGAAAATGAGACAAAGGTAGCCATTAGCTCAGACAGCCTTGGGAATGCTATTCTGGTTTTAAGTACCATCCATCTATTTTATAACCAACTTGAACAAAATTAAATAAAACTATAAAACAATTATGACTTGTCAAGAGTCCCAGCTGCCTCCAGTCATTTTCATTAATAACAAAAGAGGCTAAAAAGCTTAAGTGTTTCACTGTGGAGCACACCAACCAACCAAGAGCAATTAGCAGAAAGTGTTGGGAAAGTTTGAAAGGATTTCCTCTAGTGGTGCAGCGAGTGGGTGATAAGAAGACATGAACCTGCCACGAGTGCCGTGCACAGACCTGGTGATTAAGCCACGGTGAAAAGGAAGTACAAGAAATCAAAAGAGGAAAAAAAACAATGATGAAAGCAGTGCAATGACGCCGGGGATWCCACTAGTCTCAGGAAGCAACAAAGCTGACAGTGATGTCACAGGTTCACTGTCAGCTTTGAATAAAATACAGTATAGAAACTGCACAATTTTCCTTTTATTTTAGGGGAACTTTATCAGGTTTTCTAAATTATTATATGAACAATCCGACTGTCAAACATGTTAAACTTGTTACTTTAAAATGACATATTATGCTTCTAAATCCTTCTGATTCATATTTAAATCATTTAGGGGTCTATATAAAGTGGAACAGTAATGCCTTGGTCTGTATTCCTCCTTATTGTAACTCCACAAGCCCCTCTTCCATCCCTTTTCTGTGGTGTTCTCAGATCAACTCGTTTTGATGCTGTCTCATTAAATCCAAACAAGGCGCTTCACACCCTGACCCCCTCCAACTTGAAGAACGCTGTCCATGTAGGAGGGGTTTATGACGTGGCAAGGAACTTTTTATTTACGAATTATTTCAAAATGTCAACAAGGGAAGACTTGTCCATCCACTCCTAGAAACTCAATGCACAACATGAAGTATTTAACAGCAAAAAATGTGGATTTTGCAAGATTTGTCCCCTTTAAAGGTATCCCTGATTAGTGAGACTTTATTTGATAAACAAATATTTTAACTGTAAAATAAAGACTGTAAAAATACTGTAGGCTGTTTAGTTTTGTAAATTTTTTAAAATATATTTTAACACGTCGGAGCCATTTTATTTACACGCAAAGCATTCTGGGTAAATGATGACGTGGATAGGTCCTCGGTGTGAGCGAGCTATATCCACCCTGAAGGTTAATCTTGGACAATATCTGATGATCGACTCTTTTAAATGAAACCAGAGAGAGTTGACAGAGAGAAGGTAGAAACGACTCAGCCTTTAACTAAAAATGTGGATGGAGGACAACAGAGCTGCTTCATGGAAGAAGAACCTCAGCTTAGCCTGTTAGCCTTTGCACTAGTGCCGACGCTATATTGCCTTATATGTATTAGCTCAGCGCTAGCGCGACAAACAAGCTAAACTGAGGTCCTCCATCCATATTTTCAGTTGCAGGCTGAGTCATTTTTGTGTTCCCCTCTCTGTCATGTGGATGGAGGACCTCAATGATGAGAGGAGGATGTGTAGCGCTGAGCTAATTCATATAAATGGTGATAGCATCGGCACTAGGGCAAAGGCTAACAGGCTAAGCTGAGGTTCTTCTTCCATGAAGCAGCTCTGTTGTCCTCCATTCATATTTTCAGTTACAGGCTGAGTCATTTCTACCTTCTCCTCTCTGTCAACGCTCTCTGGTTTCATTTAAAAGAGTCGATCATCAGATATTGTCCAAGATTAACCTTCAGGGTGGATATAGCTCGCTAGCAGCCTCGCACCGAGGACCTATCCACGTCATCATTTACCCAGAATGCTTTGCATGTAAAATAAATTGGCCCTGTCCGTGTAATATATTTTTGAAAATTTTGTTTAAAAATTATAAAAACTAAACAAACCTACAATATTTTTACAGTCTTTATTTTACAGTTAAAATATATGTTTATCAGATAAAGTCTAATGTCCGGGGTTCCCTTTAACAACAGCTGATTGAATGTTAACAGTCAGCCCTTTGATCATATTGATTAAAGACATTAAAAACATCCCTTTTTGACATTTTTTTAAATACTGTGAGTGTTCTATTGTGATTTTTTAAAAATAAAACACCACTAGAGATCATCTTCATTTTTGTCCCATTAAATGAGTGTAATAAAAAGTAAATTGACTGTCAAATCTCCAGGGTAATTGGAGTCATCCATGTGCAGCAACTTCTTTTAATCAGCAGCTGCAGTGACACAAAAGTGAACATAATCATGATCAGCATGAGCGTGAGCAAGATCATCCTCAGAGAGAAAACTCAGCAGACTGATCTTTTTTTATTTTTATTTTTTCTTCCAACAGAAGAGCAAACTGCATGTTCCACTGCAGAGCTCCTTTGGGTTTGGTCATCAATCACAGACAGACATATCATACGCCACACCAGAGTAAATGTTTAAACATCACAAATCACTGAATCATAAAATAATATTTGCAAAAGCTGAATGCATTTCCATCCCCTGCGTTTTTTGTTTTCTTTAACATCTAGATTTCTTCCAGCGAACAGAACAAACCAAGCAATGTCATGCAGTCCCAGTCATGGGAATGTTGAATTCAGATGTCATAGTTCTCCCCATGCCCTCAAGTAAACAGGCTAAAATACTTCCAGAGCTTACAAAAAAAAGATCTATTTCTGTACAGGAATGCAACATTTTACATGGGGATTTTTCCTTTTCCCAAAGGCCTTTGCAAAAACATTTATAAGTAATATTGCAAGTAAGAGATACCCTTGCTCACTATTTTACTGCTTTTATTCACAGGCCTTGATCAAACAGGGGGAAGAAAATCTTTAGATTTATTTCTAACGTTTGGGATTACTTTTGTTGCAAAGTTAAAAATAGGGAGAAAGGAAACTAATAGTCATTCTGATATGCAACCCACCATAAGGACAAAGCTTGCACCGTCTCCAGCAAAAATGTCAAGCAAATATTACACTGATGTCATTACAAATGTGCTTTCCTCCAGCCATCTGTTCAGCTACAAAACACTTAGAGTGCATGCGTGTGTGTGCGTACACAGCAAATCCTGTTGTTTTCTAATGCTGTTGTGTGCAAAACAAGACAACATTGGATAAATCAATAATTCAAAAAGACAACTAGTCTAAAATTTCAGCTAAAAACAGTATTCCATTTTAATCAACATACTAGCAAAAATATGTTTAGTACTTATGATGATCCATTTAATAACTGATATGATGTTTCTCTACTTCATACAACCTCCAGTGAATATTTTTGCTGCACACAGAATTAGCGCCACATCATTATGGATTTAAAGCAATGAACCTAGTTGTACACTTAATTAAGTTTGATCCTTGTGGGATTTTACTGGATGAGTTTCTGACTAGATGCCCCTCCTTTTAGCAGCTATTTAAAAAACAAGAATCTTGTACATTCAGTTCTTTTGTCACTGTTCAAAAAAAAATCCTGTCACAATTGTGCAATAAAGCTGAAGGTCTTCAAACTGCATTTACTTTGGTTGCTAGTTTTAAAATGATTGTCATTTGTGAAGGAATATGAGGACAAAGTAGAAATTTGCGCAGATGCACAATACGGTGAAAACGAAGACTGATTAAACTAGATACAGCATAGCGGTAACATAATGACCCCCGCACACATCAATGCACCAGAACTCAGAAGTCTTTATTCCTACTAAATGTCATGCTACTCGGTGCATCCCAAAATTGTAGTGGTTTGGGTGGGGGTCTATTTTTTGGGGGCAGGGGGTCCTGGGGTGGGGCATTGGGTGACCTGATGGATAGCCCCTCATCAGAGCTAAACAACCAAAGAAAATCTGAAGCTCCTAKKTTTAATAGTTTTTGAGCTATAACCATTTTTGTGTGTCGAGCTACCCCTTTTTCAGATTAATTGGGGGTCCGGGGGTGGGGGGCACTGATTGGTGGGCCTGATGGATAGAGCTTCATCACTTCATCAGAGCTAAACARCAAAAGAAAGCTGAAGCCCCTATGTTGAACAGTTTCTGAGTTATAAGCATTTTTGCATGTCCAGACACCCCCCATTTGAAAGCAGCCCCCTCCTCAAATATGGGGTCTATCGTAAAACCGTTGGCTGGCGCAGTGTAGGTCGGATTCATCTACAGTCTACCTAATTTCATGTTGATTGGTGCAGCCGTTTTTGTGCAACGGTTGACCAAAAATTACAAAAAAAAAAAAAAAACAGTACGAAAACAATATGACTCTCGCTTACGCTTTGCATGCGGGGGTCATAATAACTTGTCTCACCTGCAGCTTCAGTGAGTCAGCAGCTGAGTAATGTCACATTCCATCATGAAAAAAAGACTTCCAAATATTGAATTCAGAAACTAGTTMTGTACATGATGTGGAAAAAGCAGAAAGTTATGTTGAAGCAGGGGTCCCCAAACTTTTTCCTGTAAGGGCCACATAACTTTTCCCTTCTCTGGTGGGGGGCCGGAGTCAGTTTGTAATAGAAAAAGTGTGACTATTGCAGGAGTGCCTAAATGTAAAAAATTATTGTTGTCCAGAAAGCACAATCAAATGACTAATTGATTAATGACTAATGACTAATGACTAATCGATTATTAAAATAATCGATGACTAATTTAATAATCGATTAATCGTTTTTTGGGGTTTTTGTTTGTTCTTTACTTTGTTTTTCTCTTCAAACTGCTTTGAAACCTTCCACTGCCACATCTGCCTTTCTGTCCTTGACACACATGCACAGTAGTG